GCAGCAACTATCTCTGCCTCTGTGGAGGAAATCGCGACCGTCCTCTGTCTTTTGCTCTGCCAAGCTATGGCCCCTTTCGAGTAAAGGCAGACCATTCCAGACGTAGATTGTCCTGTAGTGGGATCTCCCCCATGATCTGCATCGCTGTAAGTTTGGATGCATTTTGACGCGGTGGAAGATTGGTATCTTATACCATTATTGACTGTCCCTTTAATGTAGCGAAAGATTCTCTTCACCTTGGCCACATCATCTAATTTTGGATTGTCTAAGGTCACAGAGAGTTGAGCGTCATCAGCTTCGTCGTCTGTATCTTGAGCATCAATGGAGTGTCCTCTTATAGGCTCAGTAATCGACTCCTCTTCAGCTTCGTGATACTCCATCTCAGTTGTTCTACCGATTTGATTATCGCTATTGTTTTCGTCGTTCACTAAAACTTCTAACTGTTCTTCAATTTCAGGTTCGTCATAAGCTCTACTGTTAGCAATATCTTCACAAGTTCCATACTTAATTCCTAGAAACTCAAGATTTAAATCTTGTTGTGTTTGCTTGCAGTCATCTGGAAAAATTACAGATTTGTGCTCAGGCAGACATTTGGCCTCTGGTTTGTCCTCTTCCAAACATTCAACTTCTCTGAGCAAGGGGTATTCCTCGAATATAACATCTCGTGACCTTATCAATTTAAAATTGTCACTGTCCCAAATGCGATAACTTTCGTCACCGTCATATCCAATTAGGATCCCTTTCTGAGCCTTTTTGTCCAATTTTCGACGTTTTTCTTTTGCAATATGAGGATAACAGGTTGTTCCAATCACTCTTAAATGGCTTACTCTTGGCTTTTTGCCATGCCATGATTCATACGGCGATTTCCCGTTGTGACCCGGACCCGTTCTGTTCAAAATATATACAGATGTTAGAATCAGTTCCGCCCATAAGCTTGCTGGTAATTCCTCATGAGCGTACATCATGGCTCTTGCCATCTCCACAACTGTTCTATTTTCTCTTTCAGTGGGATTTTGTTGCGGTGTATAAGGCGTCGTAAATCTTTGTTTGATGCCTTTCTTCTCTAAAATAGTCCGAACTTTGCTATTATCAAACTCTCCTCCGTTGTCGCTTAAAATTTCTTTCACCTTCACACCAGCTGTTTCGACTTCAGCTAGCATTAGTGATAATTTTTGATAGACTTCTGACTTTTCATGCATTACATATACCCAACGGTATCCAGTATAGACATCCTTGAAAAGCACGAAATAACGATTCTTCGCAAAAGATACAGGGAAAGGTCCACAAACGTCTGTACAAATCAGTTCCCCAGGTCGAGTCGCCTTTTCTCTGGTTCCGAACTTCAAGCGATGAGACTTACCGTAAATACAGCCTTCACAAAGCTCGTGATTTGCTTCCGTTTTAATATTGAGCTCTTTCTCTAAAAATTTCTTGACGTGCGTTTTATTTTGATGGCCTAAACGTTCATGATACAGCTGAAGTAAATTTGGGGTAGTCAATTGGTTCACTATCATTGATGGCTTCAGGCATCTCATTTTTAAACAGTAGAGATCGCCCCCTTTCTCTCTAGTGCCAACAAGTCGTTTCTCACCATCGACTTTCATAACGCATGTTGTCGGAGTTGACTCAAAGGTACTATTATCTGAGTTGTCATGGGCAGCTAGCACAGAAAAGAGATTTCTGCTGATAGAAGGGACATACCAGACATTCTTCAATGTGATTTGTCGTAGTTCTCCTTCAACTTCGGCTTCTGCTCTAATTGTGCCGATCCCCAGGGCTTGGATCTCTTGGCCATTAGCTCCTGTCACTGTATGCTTACTTTTAAAAATGCTAAAATCTACGAAAAAATCGTCTCTATTTGTTACATGGTTGGTTGCCCCATTGTCCACGTAAAAATTAGTCGAGTCTTTCACAATTTTATCAGTTATGGCCAAGATAGTCATATTAACAGCTGATGTCTTGTTCTCTGACTTCTTCGGTTTGCCATCACTGATCCACTTCTTGCATTTTCTCACAAAGTGCCCTAGTTCTCCACAGTAATTGCATTTTCTCTTGTCTATCTTGCTTTTTGTATTCTTTTTGCCTGTTTTTACCAATAATGCTTCTCCACTACTGCCTTCACCGTAGTTATTTGCCTCTTCTTTTGCAAGGATCTTCTCGTGTGAGCATAACTGTATCGTCAGGTTTTCAATTGTGCGCTCATTCTTCGTCATCAGTAGCCAGCTTGATTTAAAGTTTAGGTATTCCGACGGTAGAGTGTCGAGAATCTTGTATATCAATAGAATATCAGGTAATTCCTTATCAAGATTCAGCGACTGATTGAACTGGTGCCAATAACTCTTTAAAGTCGAAATATGCGTCGCCATATCATGCTTGGCATCTCTTTTGTACGAAAAGAAAGTCTGGCACAGCTCGTAGCTCTGGTCAACAGTGCACCCTCCGAAAAGTCTGTGTAGCTCATCCCACATGTCCTTAGAATAGGTAAAGCGCATTATTTTCTCTAAAATGTCATCTGGTAAGTTAGACATTAACAGAATGGATATCATGCTGTCTAGTTTATCATACTCTTGTACTTCTTTCTGGTACTTCGCAGTATCTTCTGGTGTGGCACCTGGCAATAATATTGGCCTCGGTTTGATTCCTTCCAATATTTCCTTTGCACCCTGTAGCCCCTTTAGTACCATTAAAATTCTGAACTTCCACGTATTGAATTTCTTAGAGTCTAAGTTCCCAATTCGAACCTTGGAGACCTCTGCTATAGATTGGTCCATTTTGTTTGACATTTCTGCAGGCCAAGTTTTCACGAATTTTTTTTAAACAATTGGTTTAGCCACCAAAACAACTCTTAAAATTCTTGCCGACACTTTAATTTCTTCTGAAATTCTCTGCTACCATATTAAAGAAATGATAAAGCTCGGATTGGAAGTATAAAATACGAGTATAATAGCAAAACATAAAGACAGATACAAACAGGAATGACAGACACGTCAAGTAGGTACAAAACACTAAAGAGATCGAAAAACTACCAAGAAGTCTTCACTTCTTAACAATATATATCATACTTGATATATGGATATATTTATGAAACTTGCATCTCAAGGAGATATATGTGTCCGCTATAAACTATTGCGTTTACACCATGTTTTACACAATGAGGAAGTATTTAAAAACATTAGTTCCCAAACTCAAACTAGATGTTGCTACTGTACTTTGTTGATTTCTCCATGACAATCCTTTCCGTTTGCTTTCATGTAGGTAAAAGTTCTATTCTATTTGCAATTTTTCGTATTTGTATTGCTATCTAAGTTTCGAACTTTGGTACTATCAGTATTTTAATATGTTAGTTAAAAGGAACGGAAATAACTATCTTTGGTCCATTCGTTTTCTGCAAAAATCAACTTTTGGTAGAGTTGCCATCTAGTGAGGTGTTTTCTTAGTGGTTTCTTTTTTTTTCTTAAAATACTTTCTCATTCCACATATGTCACGTTGGTGGCCTATACATGTAAAGAGACATTATTTAAAGTGATTTATTACATACACAGGTAAATAGAGGGCCTCATTTTTTTGAAGTTTGTTAAAAAGAAGGTGATAAATTTTAACTCATTTTTTATGGTTGACAATGTATTATATAGAAAATAATAAGTTGGGAAAAAAATTTCTTCGTATTTTATATAATAAATCAAAACATTGTTTAATAAAGTTAGTGTAATAAAGTTTATTTAAATTTAATTAAAGTATGTAGGTACCATTTTGTTCTATAACTTTTTATCATTTTGTAGGTAGGGACACGTTCACGAATATACAGTCCTTGTCTGATGCCTGACACTGCCTAAAGAATTCTAAAGAGACCGAAAAAGGACGAAATCTGAAGGTGCAAGATCAGGACTATAATTTTTGCTGAGTGGCAAAAGATATATGAGGTCTATATATCGTTATCATGATGAAAAACCACACACCTTCGATTGATTAATTCTTGCCGCTTTCTTTCTTTCAAATTCTTGCTTTAAACTCATCAGTCCGTACCAATAGAGTTCAGAATCGATGATCCTGCTTGGTGGTAATAGCTCATAATGAATAATGCCCTTTCAATCCCACCATAAACACAGTATCACCTTGTTACGACTTAAGCCGGGTTTTGCCATTCTGTGAAGTCTGACAAATATTTGACCACGACCTTTTTCGCACGTTCTTATCCACTTTTCATCACCAGTTATCAGCTTGTTCAAAAATGATTTGGTTTCATTACAACATAATAAAGAATCAAAAATGAGAACAGGGTTCATTAGGTTCTTTCGTTTCGTTGTTCTTTCTTTCAGTGAACCATCAGTGAACTCATGAGGTACCCAAATACTGTGGTAGTGATGACGATTCTTTTCGAAAAATATCAATTTTAAAATCGGTTCAAATCGTAACTTGACCAATAGATTCTCAATAATCTACTTCTAAGAATCGATGTCCAAAAATCGTTCGTTATTATAAGTTTTACTTTACAAAGTATGTATAAATCCAGTTCATTAAAACAAGATAAATATTATAAATAACGATTTTTTTGTCAGTAAAATCAGAGAATTCAAGACTAACAATTATTTTTATTTGCTTAACAAAGTAATAGATTAGCTATAAAAGAAGACATTTATTTTCTAAATGTATTGGTTACATTAAAATTCTAAGAAAATAGTTAAACAGCACTTTACTTACGTACTCTCAATTAGGTATTTATATCACTTATCCCAATATGTATTTATTACGACAGTCACAACAAACTATAAATGAATGACGTAATGTTAATCACAGATGCAACATTTTTAAGTAATTAACCCTTTAACCGGCAGCACTTCTATTACTCCCAATACAGTTATATTAAACTAATTGTTAATAGTTTTATAGTTTATACCAAAGCAGAAAAAAACAATGGTTGAATTAAAACTTCTTTTTGGCTCAAAATCGATTCTTCCATCAATCGAAGATTAACGTCCCTAATCTGTGGCACTTATGGTTGTGTTGTGGTGAATGGGATTTTTAAGTAAGTCCTTCACTTCTTGATCTGTGAGATTTTATAAGACTAATAAAAAAATAATGTTTTTTTTCCTCCTTTAATAAAAGATCAAAGGAATGTTTTTGTGTGATATTTAAAAAAGGTGTATAATTATTAATTTGCAATAAATTCGAAAAATAATCAACTTAGAATGTCGGAGCCGCGCAAGAACCACCTATCTATTGATGGAGGACAAATTAAAGAGGACGAGAATGTCGCCTCATATAAGCCTATCCCGGATTCTGATGCAGGTAGGTACTTTTCTTTCCAGTAACCCCACTTTTTATTTGATACTGCGATGGCATGCATATCATTGAAATTGTTCCATTTATGTGTTGACCATAGGGCGGGTTGAGAATTGAGCTCACAGCTGTTGGCTGACTAGATAAATTAAGTAGGTGCAAATATCCGCAACTATAGTAGGCGTATGTTTCACTTTGGCTAGCTTGGCCAATAGTTAAAATAATGCCATTTTTTCTAAGAAAATATTCTGGTGTTCCCCAACGTCAAAAACAGCGAGCGTAGTATAATACGACCAAATGTACAGACTTGTTCTGTCACGTAGACTGGAGTAATAGAATACCTTCATATTTTAGCCGAATTATAAAGCGCTTAACGCGCAGCGCCATTTTGTTCACTAATGCTGAATGTCGTGTGATGCAAGATTTTGATCGTTTTTCTTAATTCCAAATGAATGAGGAAACCACAATGAATGTTCCAGTAGGCGGTAATTTGTTATTATTATTTTCATATTCTCTATTGTGCTTATTTCACTGAAAATTAAGATTGGCACTTTTACAATAATTGCTTTTATTTACATATGATGGTGCTAGTAATTGAATGTGATTGTAATAAAAGTACTTGCAACTTTTAGGTTCTGAAATAAAATATGACAATATTCAGGTAGATGGTGAATATGTAGAACTAAATCAAGCAGACATAACAGACGGAGATGTACAAGATGATGAAGATCGTTGGGACCACAAGAATATAGAACTCCTACTAAAATTTTATATTGAAAATATTGAACGATTTCGAAATCCTAAAATTAAGAAAAAGAATGTTTGGGTTGACATTGGTAATGCAATGGGCAGGGCCCCAGAATCTTGTGATAAGAAGTTTAGGAACTTAAAACTAACATATGTAAGATTATTAAAGACCAAAAAGAATAAAGGTGGACAAAGGAAGTGGCCATATTTTGAGGCATTTGAAGAGATATTTAATGTTAATGGGGAATACCAACCAGACATACAACAAAAGATACAGGAATGTGAAACAGAGAGTGTTGCTAAAGTTTTGCTTTCAATGAACACATCAACTAATGATAAAGATACTCAGGAAAAGAGTGAGGTCACATCAAATCAGAATGATGATGCTAGAAAAAAGATGAACAGAAAACGATATAATGAGTTTAGAAAAATATCCATAGAAATGAGAGACAGACAGAGGGTAGTAGAGGAAAAGTTAGATAGGTTAATAAATATTGTTGAAGAATCAAATAATATACAAAGAGAAAGAAACACTCTTTTTGAACAGTTCCTTGAAAAATTAAATCAGTCACAGTAAAATAATAATTAATGTTTGTTTCTATGTTAAAAATTACTTAGAAAATTATTGTATTATGTTTCAAATTGAATAAAGTTTTGTGAAGTATTCTGTCCTCAGTTTAAAAAATTATTCGTATATCCTATAGCTATAGCTTAATATTTTTTTTGTGATATTGATTTACATAGGAGAAACTTTGGGGCTAAGTAATTAAACTATGCCAAAGATAAATAAACTGGGATAGCTTGCTTAAGTATATTTTAAGATACCTATTACTCTTCTGAATGTTAAATTCTCAATTATATACAGTCTACAGCACATCAGGTTTTACTCATTTTTAGATTTGTCTACTTGATTTTCAATCCTAATGCATTTAGCTATGTGTACATCTAAACTACAATTATCATTACCACACCATTCTGTTAATGTCCCCATTGCTGGAATTAATTGGATTGTATAGGGAGAATGGATGGAATTGAATAGGGAGAATGGATCATGACTAATGTGACCAGATATCCTGTTTCAAACAGGATTTTGTTCTATTTTGAATTTCCTTTTTTTGGTTGTTCTGTCCCAGGGTCAAGGTAACCTTTGATGCAAATATGTCCCGTTTGAGAAAAGTTTGTAGGACGCATGCACACTGTTGGGTGCCTTCGAAGTGAGGAAGAGGGTAAGGCGAAAAGACTCCATTAGCTAAATAGTTATGCCTAATTTATTTGTTTAAAATTACTTTGGGGTTATTTGAAATATTATATACTGAAAAACAAACTGTTAATTTAATCACTGTTGAGTTTATCACACTATGCCAGAAATTTAAAAACCCTCCTCCAATCCAAAACAAAGTAGAATAGTTGCATTAGTCATGAACCACAACATGGGCCCAGTATGGAATTGTTTTAACGATTGCATCTTAGCTGGGACTGATCTCTTAAAATGCTTTTCGAGGTAATAAATTTTACCATAGTATGAGTCTCCCTTGAGAAAGTTGTTTAGACCCCGCACCCCAGACCAAATCTGCCAGTCACTCATCGTCATCGGGCTTTTTACTATATTTATACTTAATGGGAAGGTAGGTAGTCAAGAGTTGCCTATCATAAGTTTATCTGAAAGAGGTTTATGGATAATAAATAAAACAACTTTAAAAGATTTCAGTGCGATTGTATTGGTATTGAATAGTGCATGTAAAAATATAAGAAATCAATATGTTTACAGATATTTTAAACATTGTGTGTTATATATAGATCTTTTATAGCTTGTACTGATAAGCTATCACATCAGCATTAATAAGGGAGGTTACCATAATCTCTTATTGCAATTTTTGACTGCACTGTACCCAACAATAGTGGTGTCCCGCTCTCTGCATGGATTAAGGCTCTCTTGTACCTCTCCACTTACGTTCCCTCACAAATACGCATTGTGAGTAAAGAGACGCTCGTTCGATTTTATACATTTTTAATCCTAAAAAATCATCATCATTCCCCTGCCCTTATCCCAATTTTATTTGGGGTCGGCACAGCATGTCTTTTTCTTTCATATCTCCCTATCTGACGTCATCTCACTGGTAACTTGCTTTCTCACCTAAAAATTTAGACTCTAAATTGATTAAAAAAAATTATATTCTATTCTCTAAATTTTAGAGTAAAATCAAATCCTATTTTTGTATATATTTTATAATTATGATGATTGCGAAAGGTCATGGGTTTAAGTCCCATTCTGGATTTTTGAAGCATTTTTCATTATAGCATTGTGAACGCAAAATTATTAAAATAATATAATGAAATATATTAGTTATAAAATTGATCTAAAAAAAATATGTAGTCATATTTTCGTTTTTTTTTTATCGAGCCGATTATTTAAATTTGTTTCTGTTTTATGCAAATTTAAACTTATTTTTTGCAAACAATCGACCAGTATAATTTTCATAAAATAATTTATATTTGCCAAATATTAGCATAGCCTTAGAATAAAATTAGCTTGAAAAATGACAATTTTGTAATACCTCGCCTTAAGCATTGCTACAAGAGCTCATGGTGTGGCCCTAGTGGTCTTTATTTTAAAATGGTGAAGAGATTTCAAGTGGTATCCGTTATTTATTAGTTTATTTACCGATGGTAATAAATGACAACTAATATTACTCTTGCTGATAGTCATGTGTTGTCAAAGTTAGAAACCGCACCACTTCATAATATTAATATTATTCGGCGAAAACCCAATGCCTCCTTGTTTAACCGTGCTATTTAGCTATTTTGCTATTTGGGTATAAATTAATACTTGAAAGGAAACAGGACCGATTGCTGACGGTTTTCTTTAGCGTTTTTTTTTGAGAACGGAACCCACTTTATTACCCGTCTGTCATGAACAAATTTGCACGGAACCCTCAATAATTTTTCTGTTTTGGAATAAGATTTTATAATTCAAACTCCTTCAAATCAAATTCAAAGAATTGGAATACCTTTTCATTTATTTATATGTACTTAACCTCTTCCAAAAAAGAGGCTTAGAAATGCAAGGGCCAGCGAAACCGTGTTATCTTAAATCGAAACTCTGTAACAATCTTCTTTAACAGCTACGTAATTTATTTTCAACGGGTGGACGCTCCCTGCCGAGTAACTGGAATCCATGCTTTATGCGTGTCTTATAAGATTGATCTTTTTGTAATATTGCAATTTGCGTTCTATAAAGCCTTGTGTACACGATTAGATGTTTTAAGGCAACAAGAAAAAAATTAAACATGAAATGTAACTTACCAACCTAATAACTAATTTACTCGTAATTAAGTAGATTCTAATTTTAAATTCAACTGAGCTCATGTAGTTAGCTATATTTATTACTTATTTGTATGTTCACACATACTCAATTATTTAAAATTAAATTAAAAACCTTATTATCTATTCAATTACTTTTAAACCAAAGTAAAACTTTTTTATAATGTACATTGAAACATACGCCATGACATAATTTATGAAGTATCTTGAAAATTACAAATAAAAAGTGGTCGATGTTATTTGGGAATTCACTATGTAAGCATAAATGTGACGCAAAAGTAGTTTACCAAAGTTCCGGCAAAGCTTAGCAAACAAAACACGCGGGTTTTGTAGACGCCTAGGGTTAACCTTTATGTTCGAAGAAAGTAGTAAAATCGATAATTCTCTAAGTCCATATAATACAAAGTATGTCGTGCAAATACAATTCCTATTTTTACCAACATAAGGATATTAAATGTCAATAGACGATATTACCAAACGGATTATTGTCACATGGTTTGTGTTGTATGTAGCACATTACGCACGGGCACGACATACGCTAGGAGCTAATTGTCCATTTTTTAAATATGTCGCAATTGCTTTCACATTGACATATGAAAGATATTTTTTGACATGCGATAACGACTTTTTTGAAAGGTATTGAATGAATGATACAGTTAATTTAACGTTAATTGGAATAGGGATGACGACAATTTTTGTTTGTTTGTCCGTCAGGTAAATTGTTGAAAAATATTAAACACGTATTTTTTATTTTTTTCGTAATCATTAAATTACATCGATACATTGAGTTAAAATGTCTTCACATTTTGGTACATTTTCTACAAAATGTTATCCAAGCTATTTCTTGTTAAATTGAAGTAAAAAAAATAAGTATCGAATGTTTTTATATTATTCGACTAACTGACTAAATAGAATAGAACGGACTAAATAGGAGCACAAAAGGTTTCAATGTTTCTATACTCAAATTTTTTAGATTTAAAATCTAATGGAAAGGTAAGACCCAAGCAAATTCATTAAAGTGAGCTAGTAAGATTTTCATGGTCAGTTTCCACAAGCGATAATTTGTAATGATTAGGGTTGTCAACCGTATTATACAAAAATCAAGTTCGATTTTGAACTCTACTGCGAACTTAATCTAATTAAGATTAAATAAAGAAGTTGTCAGAAAGCGGCCAGTATTAATAAATAAAGGGGGTGTGGTTTTTCATCATGATAGCGCTAGACCTCACACATCTTTTGCCACTCAACAAAAATTAAAAATTTGGCTGGGAGGTGTTAATGCATCCGCCGTATAGTCCTGACCTGGCACCTTCAGATTTCCACTTGTTTCTTCAGGCAGTATCAAGTTAACATCACTCAAGTCTGCCAGAACCAGTTGTCGCGGGTTTTTGATCAGAAGCCCCAAAACTTCTATAGCAATAAGATCATGTTACTACTTACAAGATGGCAAAAAGTTATCGAACAAAATAGTACTTACATACTTTAGTTTAATGTAAATAAAGTTTATTAAAAAATATTTGAAATTTCATATCCCCGACCTATTACGTATTGCATTTATATCAAAAGTTAACCCTAAAGATAATGTACTAAACAATTTAACAATGATGCTGGCCGTCCTCTCTGTCTATTGACTGCGTCTCGAGTCTAAACTTAGCTTAACGATCCGCCCGAGGGGCAGTTCAATTGGTTATTTAGCGAACTCCGTTCAGTACTCGTTCAACTACAAGTGTGAAAAGACGTGTGCTTTAAAGTTGCTAAAAATACCAATTCACATACTTTGGACACTATATTGTTCTTTTATGTAAGTAGTAGATATAAGGTATTATAATAATGAAAAACCCGGACTAGGAATCGAACTCTACACCTTTCATGATGGCGTGCATGATATTCGACCAGTTCAATTATGTATTGTTCCAATTTAATTTGAAACTGCATTGAGAAAAATTGAGATTCCTTTTTTAAATTACTAAATATCTTTTTAATATATTTAGTGATATAATTAAATTACTACGTTACTTTTTAGTAATAAACCATATTATGAATCTAAAAGTAACGTTAATTTTAATATTAATCTTAACTTTGTGGATAAAAAATAAAGACAAGGAATGAAGAAGTCTTCCGCAACGCCGCAACATGTTAAAAAATTGGCGCAGTAATTTGGGTTCGGTCTAAGGGAACCCACGGGACCGCTTCGAAATCCGGTTTATCCCGAAAGGGAACAAGTCGTTTTTCAACAGTTACTTAATACGAGTTATGGTGCCGTTGAGAACTTTCTACCGACATCATCAATTTCGTAAAATTATATGGCGAAGGCATTTTCACTTATTTTTGTTTTTGAAAAAAAATCAGGGTGCTCTCACAATTAAAAAAAGAAATTTATTAAAATAATTGCTCTTATAATAGTAACTACCTTATTGTCAACGAGAACCACTAATCCTAGTAGATTAGCCCTTAAATTTGATATAAATCTTTTGTGAGAATTAACAATACATTTATAGGGTTCCGTACTCCAAGTGTAAAACGAAGACTTCGCTGTCTGTTTGTCTCTCACTAGGCTGTATTTCATGAACTGTGATAGTTAGACAGTTGAAATCTTCACAAATAATGTGTTTCTGTTGTCACTATAACAACAAATTCTAAAAAATATAATTAAATAAATATTTAAGGGGTCTCCCATACAACAAACGTTTTTTTTTTTCTGTCACCAGGCTTGTATCTCACGAACCGTGATAGTTAGACATTTAAGATTTTACACAGATAATGTATTTCTATTGCCGCTATATAAAAAAAACTAAAATATTGAATCAAATAAATATTCATGGGGGTGCCCATTCTACAAACGTGATTTATTAGCTAGTTTTCGGCACGGAACCCTTCGTGCGCGAGTCTTACTCGCACTTTGCCGGTTTTTTACCATAGTTTCATATATTATACAGAGAGAGAGAGAGAGAGAGAGAGAGTGAAAGTAGATACCAATCTGATTATAGTGTTATGTCTAATAGTAGCTAATGATATTTATATTGATAAATTCTCTGAGAAGTTATACAGTGCACTTCATGCATCCTTGGATTAAACAATACATGCGTCCATATTCTACGGAACAGAATGTAGTGGTTGCAATCGTGTTTCATTTATACATATATACCTAAGCTATTTTTTTTCTCGGTATATAAGATATCCCGAGAAAAAGTTTCTTATGATAGTCAGTATACAAGATAAAAATAAATTAATATTGTTAGGTTATCTTTTCATTAGTGTGATCGTCTTATAGCTTGTGAATACATCTTTTAAACTCTAATCAGCTATGTGTAAGAGTTATCACAGATATCATAATGATATACACAGTTCATTAGTTAAGTTAATCAATAGTTTGCAAGGGAAAACAAAGTACTTCACATATTTATGATGTAACGCTCATTTGTAGACGATTATTGAGTATAGACAGAGAAATAAATCGATATTAAAAGTTCGTGCATTGACTATTTAGTAAAACGTATAAACACTTATAAATATTCTCTTTCTATTTAGTGTTCTCTCAAAAGATTGAATAGGTTAATACTAAATGAACGTGTCCACAAAATACTATTTTTTTTTAAACTGAAAGCTTATGAAATATTGAAATAATGCAATTACTCAATTGTTTATAATTATTGTCACTTTGTAAAGATTTCCTATAAGTGTTATGTCTGGATTACTTAAATAACCTCAATAAGTATAATCGTAAGCAGCCGTTGTTGGTAGGTAAAAAGTACTTACCTAGCGTTTAAAAAGTTGTTGGAAAGTAGAAAGTTAACAACCTTTTGGGGCCCTGTTATCAATATTTAATAGTACCTCACCGACGCTCTGTAACACTTACATAAGAAAATAAAACCAGCTAAAAGCGAGTCTGATAACGCGTGCAAAGGGTCCACATTATATAATTTAAAAACCATTCAAAATATTATGCAATTATATGTATCAATGAACAATTTCCAATTTTAAGGTTTAGGGAGGGGAGGACCACACTTCTGTTCAAAATTTGTCTATTTTTATAACTTTAAAACTATTCTAAAATATATATTATTCAATGATTAAAATTGATTAATTCATCTTACCACCTTTATGCAGATGATTTTACAAGTTTATTCCCAAGCTTGTCTTGATCAACTGTCTCTAGCCATTAATACGCTGAACCGTGATTTACAAATAATTTGTGACTGGAGCAAGTCCTATGGCACAAAAGTAAATGCACTGAAAACCCAAGTCATTATTGTTGGCAGTCCCGCAATGACAAATAAAATCAACAGTTCATGTTTACCTGCAATTTTGTTCGATGGTGTTGCTTTAGTCCCTAGTGATAGCGTACGAAATCTGGGGATAGTTATAGATAAAAATTTGACATGGGGACCACAGATCGAGTCGGAACGAGTCGGAAAATGTTTGCCGCAGCTGGTTCCTTGAAGAGGCTACGTAACTTCTTACCAGTGGCTACGAAAATTGCGTTCGCACAATCCCTTCTTCTTCCAATACTGGATTACTCCGATGTCAGCTATCTAGACTTAACTGAGGAGCAACTTAATAAACTTGAGAGACTTCAAAATTTTTGTATTAGATTCATATTAGGGTTACGCATGTATGATCATGTATCTGATTTTCGCATTAAGCTCAAGTGGTTGCCGATTTGACTTCGTCGGAATGCACATATTCTTTCCCTGCTTTACAGTATACTGTTCAATACTCTCTCACCAACTTATCTTAAGGAACGTTTCAAGTTCCTTCGTGATACGCACTGTCGTGTTTTGAGACAAAATCCTTGATAAATCATTTGCAGTTCAGGCCGTGGCTGGTGGAATGCCTTACCTGAAGAAATAATGCGCGCTCCTTCATTAAAGTGTTTTAAAAATATGTTAAAGGAATACTATCTATCACTTTAGGAACAAATGCTATCGTATCATCCTGTTATATTTGTCTTGGTACTGTTTTATTTTAAATGTTTGTATGTATATTGTATATAATTATATTATATTTATATGTAGAGGTATGTATATGTTATTTGTATGTATATATATAGGTATGTTTCTCTCGCAATGTAAGACACCATCTACTACCCGTCTATTTAGTAACAGTCCAATCTAACCTACGGTTGCCTGGCAGAAATTGCTCTTTAGCGATAAGGCCGCCGATTGTACAACTAAACTGTAGCAATTGTAATTTATCTATAATTTATGGTGTACAATAAAGAATTTATTCATTCATTCTTATTTACGACACCTTATTGTACTGTGAAAGACGGAGAGACAGACAACCGGAAGGGCTCCGGTTTTTCTTATTGAGGTGCAGAACTCTATAATGTTATATCTTAAGTCGGTTATTTTTATTATCTTAATATGTAATTGATTTATCTTCATAGAATTCCGAAACACATCGAAACCGACGCTTAGCAAGTCCAAGGAGAAGATCTCTGACGAGGCTGAGGAGAAACTCTTGGATAAAGAGGAGGAGGCCAAGATAGTGACTCGTGTGGACATGGCCGACGCTAAGTACGTGGTCGGGGACCACAGGAACGGAGACGCCAAAATTGAGCTGGATGCCAATAAGCGGGTAAGTGGTCAATTGTGAAGCTGAAGCTGTTGAAGAGTTTGGTCCCATAGAAACACTATGTGGTACGGTTGATATGTACTGCCTGTTGTTGATGTTTCGCGTATACATCACTGCTACTCTAATACTGAAAGGGCTGGGAAACCTGACTAATGTCATAAACAAGATTGTGAGAAATTCTGTACATTATTTAAGAGGCTTTCCATTTGATTTTTTTTTAATAAATATATTTTTATTCTTTATTGTCAAATCAAAGCAAACGGCGCAGTTAATGCTCCTTTCGATACCGCTCCGAGCGAGTTTTTCGAAAAAATATATTGACGGCTATATTAGACATGTTCATATTATGTAGTTTCACGTCATCACCAACCTATTAAAGTCACATGCCTTCCCTGTGGATGGAATCGAATCGAAGAGGTATTCAATGCAGAAAAACAAACAATATTTATTATTAATTAAATATTGTCTCTTTATAAAATTAGTATAGATGGAGCAACGAAACTTATAATTATTTAAAGATGATAAGAGAGTTGAAAATCTACATCTACAATAACAGAATGAGAAGAATAATTTTAATATAATTCTCAATCATAAATTATATATAATTCACATTTGGTGTCTTCGTTAACATGTTAAAATTCGACATGTAATATTTATATATGTAATATATTCCAAAGGTTGCGTATATCTGTTTTAATATACACATTTAAATATTCTAGAATATCCGGAAGAGAAATAAAGACAACTCGATAATTGGGCCTTGGCTGTTTATTAGAGCTTCTTTTGCCAATTCAGAAGTTAACTTGATTATTATTTATTACATCAATATATATTTGCGAATGAAATTTAAGAACAAGAAAAAAAACGTACACATAGCTTATGTCATTATTATGGACTATTTTAATAGTATTATGATTATGAAAGTATACACGTTTGTTATTGAATAACGTGGAACCGAATTAAAAAGTTGTATACGTCTATTTTTAACATTTCTGGTATACCATAAAACACGGAAATATATATGCGTTAAAATAATAATACTTTTAGCTAATAAATCCTTAGAAATAAATTTGCAGATTTGTACGCAAATGCTCGGGTCATGACGTCATAACACCCTTAAGTGGGAATATACACACACCACGATATCGTAGTCTTAGCGTATTGCGATGACGTAAATTCTTCCCACTGCACAGAAAAACTTATTTTTTATAGAATATCTTTACTCCTGCTATTGATGAATTATAAAAAAGCCATTGAAGATAATTAAAACATATGATGCAATACGTGCCTGAAATGTCGTTGCGTGTTTTATCTCCAATGTTTTACTGTATCTTTATTCTATCTATATTTCTCATAAAAATTATATTTAGATTATAATGAAATGTTTTTAACATGTTTCGATTGGATTTATCAAAGAATCACTTTTCTGATAGATAATATCTTAAAGAAAAATGCTCATTATATGGTCAGGTACTCCTAAATGGGACCTGAACCCACAGCCTTTTGCAATCCGGTATTAAATTATGTAATACTCATGCATTGTGAATGCAAAATTAATCAAAAAATATAATATCTCTACAATATTATGTCTAACACAGTGGTAAAAAACCAATAAATTCTAGGTGAGAGAGCACCTTTATAATAACGTTAAAAGCTATTTTACATTAGGATTAAGGATCTCTCATGTAATAAATAATGCACTTTTATTTAAAAAAACTCTTGTAATTAATAAATATCATTGATGAAGTACTACAATTCATCTATTCATCAGTAGACTCCTCGGGGTCGACTTCAAACATGAAGTCCCGTGGGTTTTTCCTGGTCGTGGCGTAGTGGGCTGATTCCACACTCGCGTAGATAAAATAGCCAATAATAAACGGCGGGATCACGATGAACATGTTCTCCCGGAAGCGTCGGACCATGTTAGGAACCCCGTAAGAAAGAGCTCCAGCGAACGCCCTTTGTTCATGCGGTGATATCTTGTATGTGATTAAACCACGAATCTTTGCTAACTCGCCAAAATGGAGACCCATTGTGGTGGTATAAGTTTACCAATGAAACAGAATGGAAAAAGTATACAACAAAAATCAATAATGCTGTGAAGAAGTTTTGATTCAATGATAATCGTTTTGATTGATTATTGTCCAAAGAGTAGTGTTACTGTCGCTTCCAAAGAGTTTTTAACGTTCATATACTTTTTTACTCTTTGGTTAAGTTTGATAAATATACATGGAGTCTTTTTACACAATGATGCGAACTTATTGTATATATCTATGGAGATCTGTCACATATAGAGTGCTGTCATATGTTTGTGTACCCTAATTATAATGCTACTCTTTGTGTGTACCATACAATGACCTCTCTATTTGCAAGTTTTTAGTCGCTCAAATATCAACGTATTTTATTATTTTCATCATTACGCTAAAATCCATTTATAACAATCTGTAGGTAATGCTTTTTTACGGAGCTATAACGTCTTCGTTTATTGAGTCAGCGGGAACCTCCAGGAAGGTATATACTTAGATGTACATTGAAAGATAAAGACACACGGTCGGGTCCGGCATCTCATTTCGCCAATAACATGCTATACTCGAAGCGTACTATAGTCGAAGCTGATGCTTCAACTGAATACAAACGTTACGTATTTGTAAAGTGCGAATATGGTGATGTTCTGATGTCTTTTTCAATTAAAAAGTGCAATACGGTTAAAATTCATGGTAGTCGGAGATGATATTCTCGATACTGATCATATAGATGATATTCTGTAAGTTTTCCCGAATGAAATAAATAAATACTCTGCTTTCTCTTGCATAATTATTGAAAAGATGTTTTTACCTATCATAATTATTTTCTCAGTTTGTATAATCGGATTCGACAACTTTCTTCCGACAGAGACAGATTAAATATTTTGGAAAAAAAATGTATAGGTACAACAAACATCGGAACATTATCATTACGGAAAGTCTTGGATAGTTTGTGAATAAGGGCGTTGTACAGTATTAACAGGGAAAACAACTTTTATTTTATATTATTTCAAGCTCAACAAAACGTTTCTTTTGATAGCAATTTTCCGGACTGACAAAGGAGGAACTGCTGAAGTATGCCGATGATCCATTTTGGGTGCGCTTGCGCTGGTTCATGTTCGTGTTGTTCTGGGCGCTGTGGCTGGCCATGCTTGCTGGCGCTATCGCCATCATCATACGCGCCCCCAAATGCGCTGCCCCTGTGCCGAGAGCATGGTTAGTATTTAATTGCCTGATAGCAACAAAAATAATCTCTATCTTTATTATCCCGACAAACTTACTATTTGACCGAAATCTAAATTATTATTATTATAACGTTGTACAAACAAAAAATAGTAAATTTTAAATATATACTACAATTAAAATCTAAGATAAAAGTGTTTGTAGTGTTATAATAATTTATTGTTTGATGAAAAAAAATTCCTTTTTCTTTGTGATGAAATATTTATATGTATATCAATCAATTGTTCGCAGGTACGAGAAAGGTCCTTTGGTGGACGCGAGTACTTTAGACACCTACGATGAGCTAGAGAGCGAGTTGCCAGCACTGAAGGGTGCGAACGTACCGGGCATCTTTAGTGACGTCACACCCACTTATGAAGTACTCGATAGCGAGGATGTCGTCACCAAATTCAAGGAGTTTGTTGCTAAAGCCAAAGAGTATGGTGTCCGGTGAGCACATTTTTATATACATAGTATAAAATCATTTGTGTATGTTCTTTCCTGCAAAACTTAAAAAGTGATGAAACTTGATTGAGCAATTATCGCAATAAGGTATTCTACTCCGGTTGAAATAATACTACTTAAGTGTTCATTTTATTTTAAAAAGCCCGATATCAAATATTTCAGAAATATAAACACGTTTTCTTGCCTTAAAATTAAATAAAAAAATTTAAACATTTTTATACCGGCGAAAACGCTGTTCTTCAAATTTATGACGTTACTGATATATACACAAAACATGCATAGTCGATAAGACAAGAACAATGCTATCTGACAATCGATAACGAAATAAAAAGATGTAAATAAACTAAGAACAGCGCCATCTAGGAATTTTATTTAGAATTAATAAGAATATCTTTGACTAATCTGACAGTTATCGCCACAGTGACGTCACACAATGACGGGACGTCTTTCAAGTTGCGTGACATACAGACAAAAAATCACGACTTTGAATTTTAAGATGAAAATATAATCGTACGATTTTAAGACTCAAAATCAGAATCTCTATGGTTATAATTATGTAACTTTAAGTTTTTGTGCAATTCGTGACTTATTTTTCACTACCGAAACTACCCTATTAGGGTACTAGGTTCTGTAGCCACTAAGAAGCCATACTGAAAAAAAAAGGAAATGACCTATAAACGTACAATCTATTCGCTAACCCGACATCGTATCACTGAGTGGGCACTAAAACAACTTATGGGATCTGCAGGGCGATTCTGTAAAAACCCGAACCCGAATCCGTTTTCATCCATGTATCCGAATTCACGTCATTAAGTGAAGAAATTTTGTTGATCCCATTTTTATATCAAAATACAAAACAAAATTGATTGATTATACGTGTCTCAGATATTATATCCCTATATTATTTCGAAACTCACTTCACTTATGCTCCGAAACGTTATTACCAATTCAAGATTAAGAGGATGCCGCTTTTGAAGTGTATTCGGACACCTGAGTGGATTCTAATTCGGGTTTGTATTTTTACAGAATCGCAGGGCAGCTGCAGTGAACGGGTATAGATGTAAATAAATAAAAGATAACGCCATCCTGCTGCAATGAGTTAAATTTAATTTGCGTAATCGGCCTATTTTGCCAATGTTAATATGTGTTAATGTATGTAATCTTAATGGCGTCACAACATAATTACATTTGATTATTGTGCTGTCTTCTGGGATGACTACAATGGTGTCTTGATAAAGCAATAATATTAGTTAGCATTCTAGTAACGAGAACTGTATTAAAGGTCGCCGTAATTACGTAGACGATGCCAGCGGTAGGGGCGTTAATATGCTGATAATGCAGACGAAATATTAGCCTTGTTACGCACATTGTTTGAAATGCAGCTAAATAGTCAAAACAATAGGTAAAACAAGCACACACACACAACTCAGTATATAAAATTTCCACTGACTGAAATACGGACCTAATTGTGAATAATTGTATTAGTGATCTTATTATTTATTAATACTTGATAATGTTTGAAAGTCAACGCTTATATAAAACTGATTTGTTTTTTCGCAGGGTGATTGTAGATCTGACGCCAAACTTCGTCTCGACCGCTCATACCTGGTTCCAGTTAAGTGTGAATCGTACAGCACCATACGACACTTATTTCACATGGGCGAAGGGACGCGACTATGTGGAAACAGATAGCGGCAGCGTACCAAATCCACCTAACAATTGGGTAAATCTTCATTACCAATCAATCACATACCATATGAATACAGTAGTACTTAATTTAGTAAATTAAACTTTGTTCTTAGGGCAGGCAAAAAAACAAAAAATGACATAAACATAAAGTATGTGAGATCCATTAGTAGTACTGCGCTTAATATGAATAGACTATAATAGTTATATACACAAATTGAATAAAAATACACATTGTGTGTAGAATAATGTCACTAATTTGTTAAGTGCATTGTGACTAATAGAACTAAATTGATTTATTTTTATCTTTTGATTAGGTATCAACAATGAACACCTCAGCTTGGGAGTGGAACGAGGCTCGCAAGGAATTCTATTTGCACCAGTATGGCAGTGACCAGCCCGATCTCAACTTCCACAATCCTGATGTTGTCAAGGAATTTGATAAAGTCCTCCGCGTCTTGATGAAAGCCGGCGCAGCGGGCGTCAGGTTTGTGTGCCTTTTGTATTTAACCATATCAACTTATTTTGTTTGTCCATTTTGACATTAGATTTCTTTAAGTACTGCCCGGTGGTCCTTTGAATTTAAACTGGTAAATGAGAATTTCTTATGTAGGTGGTTTATTATGAACTTTGTATAATTCCGTCAGAGCGGATTTATTAGATATCTAGAAACCTAATAAACTTGGTTTAATTTAAAACTAACACTCTTGTTATCAGTTTCTATACCTAAAATCATACCCTTCTATTTGCGAGGACGTGTAAAATGGCGTTGTATTTTTTATTTAATCTACTGCCTGTTGGTCTTGTTAAAATAAATAATTAATTAAAGTAAATCTGATCCGGCTCGAAGGACTTAATATAGGATCCTTGACTTTCCGTTTACCACTACCTTTTAGATATGTTAATGTTTTCTTTTTATTTTTATTTAAAATGGAATTATGACATGTGTGCTATATTTGTTTAATTGTCGTATATGTAAGTATGTATATGAAAGGAATTTTTAGAATATGAATGTTTTGTAGGTTGCACAAAGTTCGTCAGATGTTGGTGAACCAGTCGTTGCCTGATGAATTGATGGCGATCGGTCGCGGCAGCTCACCGGGCGCTGATCATTTGAACTATGCGTACTGGCGACACAAGTACACAGCTGACCAGCCCGCTCTCTTGACATTATTGCAACAATGGGCGGAACTGGTCGACTCTACAGCTGCCGTTAACCCAGGGGCCGGTTAGTAATGTAGTCTAGTATCTTTTAATGGCTGCAACGTCTGCTCTGTATCTTGTCTTCGTAATCCCATTAACATCCATCAAACTTTCTTTTATGAGAATATGTTGTGCACGGGAGTAGAACTTCGTGTAATGCTTTTGATAAATAAATTTGTGGTAATTTGTTTTCGGAGACATAGTCGATAAGACCAACCTAGGGCTAGTTAGTACAATATAATTTACATTCCTACTGTTTCAATACTGTACAAAATAAATATCAAACTAAACAAGACCTTATTGAACAATATTGTCATAGGAAATATGTATTAAAAAAATTTCTTGTATTGAAAGTTATGGGTTACAATTTGTCTTTAGAGTCTTCGATTGTTCACTGTTAATATAAAAAAGGAATATTTTGTTCTTTATTGAAGAAGCTTAGTAAATCAAAAAATTTGTATCACGAACTACTCCGAGCTTCGGTTAGGTTAGGTTAAGTTGGTCCCGGTTGTATTGACAATCGTTAATATCCACCAATCCGCATTGCGCCAGCATGGAGAGTTATAGCCCATCCTCCTTAACCATCCATTACTTAGGCCTGAGTCCCTGCAGTGGGATCATAAAAGGGCTGATGATGAAGGGCTGATATATAACAATATAATACAGGTGAGACAGTGTTCACTGTGGCGGAGGAAAGTGGAGGAAAGTGGACGGACGAGTTGACGTTACGTCCGCGCGCCGCCGCCGCGTTCCGCCTGCGGACCGGCCGCGATCTCAACGCACTCGTGAAGGAGATGCAGACGCCGTTGCAACGCTGGCCCGCCGTACAGGTATACAAGTGATCATACTGCCGATGGATATTTTCTGTTAACAGCGTCGATGCTGTTTTTATAACTGATATTCTGATATAAAAACAGTCTCGAATTCGATTAAATAAGGTTCGAGATTCAATTAAATAAAACTTGCTCTATGCATGGAGACGGCAATTACTTTCATTAGGGGTTTGTTTTTCAATAAAACATCACCATGACAGTTCGGAAGGTATTGTGCTGTACTATTTAAGTAATATGTATAGATACGATATGAATGGACAAATAAAACCATAGATCCCAGTATTTACATTTTTATTAAATTAGTATTTTTAAATTCCCAGGCCTACCTTGTAGATGAAGTTAGAGGTCTAATTTAATATTTTTGATATTACCAGTTAACCTGTACACACAATTAACAGGTCCCTCAATTGTTGATTAAATTGTAATGCAGTTAACGAGCGATTCTGAGTCCGCGGACGCTGAGCTGGCTGAGCTGGCGTTGTTGCTGCCGGCCGTCCCAGTACTGAGCGTCACACAGCTCCCCGCCGCTACCAATAACACCGCTACAGTCAGTATAATCTCTTGTTCTCGGAAATTAATTGAGTATTTGTTACTAAAAAAGCCCATGAAAAGCTCTATTTTGATCATATAAGCTTTTGTTTTAAAAGATTTCAGTTTTTCCATAGTAATTAACTTTATGAAGTTATGCAGGTACACCTACATTCATTTGTATTCATATAGATTATTAAGCAAAGCATTAGTCAAATAACAATTTAAAATGCGCAGAAAGTTTCAGCTGATGTAAATTATTCGATTTTTTGTTTGTACATTTGAGTGAGTTGTACATTAAATTTATTGTAAATCTTATTTCACTAACAATTACGTGTAAAATAAAACTCATTAGGTCATTGATCAGAACATTGGTGGATTGCCCGATCACGTGATATTTGAACAGTTCTGATTGACTGACACGGAAATTTTGTAATCCTTGAGCCACAACTATTGTATGTGCTTCATTAATGAAAAAAAAGTATATTTACTAACTATATTCTTTAGAATAAATCACAGTCAGTATTGATTTCAGGACCGACACGTCTTCCTTAATATAATATTATTATGGTTTGACAGGGCGAGGGTCTATCGCAAATGGTAGCTCTACGGGAGGATGCGAGCATAGAACACGGTCAATTCAGTGTGGCTGCTGTACCTTCGCGACAATCTAGCAAGCAGTTACTCGCTTGCGCCAGGTAATAATTATTTTGTATATTTTTGTGATGTTCCTATATAAACTTTTATTTTTCCATAATTTTACCCTTGTATATTGCCCTATTTTAAACAAATGTCATCCGCGTGTGATGTAGTTTCCCGTTGGCGAAAGAACTTCTATGTTCGAATCAGTATTTTGCGAAGATACAAACTGCCTACAAATGAACAAAGTTAACTTTACCTCCTTATAATATTTGTATAGATAAATGAAACGACCTAGCGACAAAAACGACAATATTAATTATGTGTTGACTTGTAGATGGAAGCCGGGTCACACCGGATACGTGGCGGTGTACAACCCGTGGGATGAAGAACAGCGTGCCAACGTTACGCTGATGGCTTCTGTACCAAGAGCGCTCACCGTATATCACGTCTCTAACACAGTTAAGGAGTACACCAAGTTAGTACCTCTTTAATCGTTTTATTATAACACAATTACTAAAGTTAGTAGTTTGAATAATGAAACCATTGGCTGCCTAAAGCCAATATGGGTGAAGACAGGACAGTAAACGAAAATAAATACGTTTAATTTTTTTCTGCTAGTATTTAATATACTATTACCGATAATCACACTTATGCTTATTATATTATAATTTGCCACGAGCCTCGAACTGTATGGCTATGCTGAATTGATATGATGGTAAAGATGAAAGTCCGAGGCGGCTTTGGTAGCTCAGTCGATAGATCAGTCACCCTGTTAGTGAAAGGTTGAGATCCGTCCAAATGGTATAGCTTAATTTATTTAAGCAATTTCTAGAATATGAATATTGGTAATATTATATTCACGCTCTATCCCTATAATAATCAATGAGATGGATTTCAATGTAGTTTCGTGAATTAAAATTTTCAGAAACTATACCTTTGTTATGTTTGTTACAGTTATACAACAAACTATGCGGTGTCCAGCGACAATATCCTGGTACCGCCGAAGTCTAGCGTTGTACTATCGTACGTGCCAAAGACGGTGGAAGAGCAATAAAGCTCATAACGTCATGTTCTAGAACGCTTGCGCCGTATCATACACGCGGCATATTATTTTAATATATTGCATTTAACGTTTAGGTATGTCTTAAATGAGTACCTACTAAATATATATTGTGAAGCATGATATGTGTTTGATTTATTAAAAACAAAAAAAAAACAAAAAAACGAATGCCCGTTTTCATTGAACTTAGGGATCGCCCAAATCTCACACCTAAATATTTGGGTATTGTCTAATGTGAAAATGCGTTTCACCAATGACAAGGAGCCATCTAATGACCATAAACCATATAAACCATGAGATTTTTTTAATTTTCAGAATTTTTCGGACAATGACGATTTGACTGCTCGTGTAAATAAAAGACCACTAACAATTTTCCTTGTTTTATTACCTCAAAAAATATATTTTCGTTATTGTTTCTTTACGTGTAAAGGACACTATCGTGACATTGGCGAAAATTTCTAAACGCAAATAGACCTTACAAAAAATAGAAGAATTGAAGTATACAAAATCATAGGCAAACGGTCTAAACAAGTACTTAGTAAGACACTACAAGTTTGGTGCTTACGCTATTTTTAATATTAAGTGATTTCTAGTTAAGCCATGCCTTGTTCGAGGTTATTGAAAACTGGCAGGAGTACTCTTGCTGTCTCAGTTTTAGCGTAGTTTGAATCGTAATGATACAGGTTACTACGATCGTTATGCAACTTTCGCAAGGGCCGGTCATAGGATGGGTGATCAAAACTTTATATTGAGCTCCTCCGTGTTTCTTTTGGAAGGCACGTCAAGTCGTTGGCCCCGGTTGCATCAGCAGTTGTTATCACCCAGCATGCGTAGCATGACAGACTCGAAAAACGCGTTGTCTACAAATGTTATTTTTCTCCGGTCGAGAGAAACATCTTACGGGCGCACTCGAGAAAGTGACATTTGGGTGTAAACAAAATGTTTTCGAGTTCGTCATGCTACGCATGCTGGGCACGCGTGGTGGGTCATGGCCCACTCTCGTTATTCGAGTCCATGCATACAGAAGCAATGGGGACTATAGGTTGGTGATAATAGTGATGATATCGTTTTATTGGCGTTTGCAGTTTATAGAATAAAAAGTTTTTATGAAAAATGCCTGGCAAATTTAAAAAGGACTTACTTGCATACATTTATAAACTCGCTTTCAGAATGTGTTAGGGATCTCGAAAGATTCATTATATCGTCACTGAAAAGCAAACACGTAGTATCTCGCAAAACCAAGTGTTCTTCAGAGCAGAAAAGCTTTTTATTTTTTTGATAAATATTTCCTATAAACGTCCATGGTAACAAAAAAAAACTTAGTAATTTTATACGGAAATGTTTTTTTTTTAATATAAAGATTTTCCTCTCCAAATGTCCATTTTGGTTTTGCAGGTTACTACGTGTTTGCTTTCCAGCGTCGATATGTTACTATAATATTGTAATCTTTGTTACTGTACGAAAAAGGAACCTAGTGAGGAACGTTATTTAAATAATACGACCAAATAGAAAATAAGTAGTACAATTTAATAATATCTGCAATAGTTAATAACATTTAAAAAGCATAATTTTCGTTTGTACAATCATTTTATGGTCTTACAATCTTTCGTCTTAGTTTATTAGGGTCCCAACATATATGGCATTAGTTGTGTTAAGTAGACTACAATCAAAAACTTGATTTACAATTATCTTATTTTTCTAGGAGAATTATGGTCGTTGTGTTGGTAACAGCACGTATAGTCATGTACAAAAGTGATAGCCGCCCAAATCATATAGTACAGAACAGTTGCTAAGCACATACGCAGTAAAAAATCGCCCAAAGTAAAAGTAGGCTTGACCTGCGATAGCTTACACGATACAACCGAATCCATGATTAGTTAGCCGTATCGAGACTTGGTCCTAGATCTAGATCGATGATGTCGTAAAACAACTTCACTAGATAAAAAAGGGTGTAAGTAAACAAAATTTGCATTAGCGAATTGGCGAGCCACCACGGCGACATTAGTGCATTTTTCACATAAAGTTTATCTGTCATATTAGGAACCAAAAAAAAAATACACCAAGAACATATATTTTGTAACAATTAATTTTAATAACTAAATTAGTAACAGCCAAAGGTCGCGCTTTCAAGATTAACAAAGACTCGAATTCGCTGTAATTGTTTAAAAAGGACACTAACAAATGCCGATTCACAATAATTTTAATGTTGTAATGTTACTGTGTTGATGTTAGGTGACAAGAATTACCGTCGCGCGGTTACCGCTTCTTAGCGTTAGGTTTGGGTTTGTTGAATTGGTAGCTAGCGCATTTGGGGATGTGTCGTTCTGCGGCTGATTGGTTGAAGCGACGGCTGCAGTGCGGACACTGCACGTAGTCAGGATTCTCAGAGGGTGGTGGTGGTGGCAAGTCACTCAATTTACCTGCGATTCATTAAAAAACAAATATTTGTACTTATGAAATGTATATTATTACTAAAATATGAAAAGCATTACGTTTTGAATATCCATTTACTTTTTAAAGTAGTAAGTGGTAATATTATTTGTGTATTGTTTTAATAGCTTGAAACTGATTTAAAATACATTTTGGCGCCCAACGTGTTACTTCTTTAGATCAAACGTCCTTTTTGTAGGAACTGTGTTACATACTCTAGGTGAGAACTGTGTTACATACTCTAGGTATGCTGACGGAACGTTTACGAAATATATAATTTAATATGACCTCATTTATTTTCCACGATATACTGTGTTCTGTAGCTGCTGCAATAATTTTGCTATTAAGTTCTTACAAAAGTACGCTCCGTTCAGCTTATTTGCTGTAAAATTTGTTTCATATTTGGAATTTGAACAGAAATGAAATTATTTTTAGTTTAAAGTGAATAACTAACTTTATATTAGACAGAGAGTTCGTGACTAAAATATGCAACGTATGAAATAACTGCTAATAATTTAGTAATAAATTAACTTTCAATCATTACGGAATTATTTTATCGGAGCTCATTTTCACATCAACTTTTGAGATTCGCTGAGTCGCCGCATTTCATGATTGTGCACCGCCGCCACCAGCGGGTGTTCTAGCACTTGACCTACGCACTGGTTGCTGATTCAACTTACTGCAACATGAAGCTTTCGAAAGCTCTTGCACATTTTTGTCAGGACGTAGAATATATAGGAACTGTTAAAATGAGTTTTTCATACTGACCGCCAGCATTAAGGTGCGCTTGCACCTGCTTGGCTGCGCGAATGGCCTGAATGAATTCCTCGTGCTTCTGCCGCCAGTTGTTGTTCAACGGTTTAGCGTTAGTGTTAACTTTGTTGGTTGACGGGTTGCCACCGGTCTTGCGTAACTTGTTGATGAATGGCTCCGCTTCTGTACCCTACAGATGCAAATGAAGATAATAAAAATAGTTTTATGATATATGCTTAGTTATTGATTTCCAAAATATGATGCACTAGCACGAATTGCAAAGAGAACTCCTTAGTTGAGTGGAAGATCCTCTAAGCTGGGAAGCTTAGGAATAATAATAGGATAGAATAGGAATTCAAAGACTACACGTAGGCTGGGTCTCCATTCTGCCAATCAAAATGTAAAAAATCCGTTACGCCGGTTTAAATTTGTTACGCCGGTTTACTGAATTAGTACAGAGAGCACGGGCGACCACTACGTGTTCATCTCATTGGTCAATAAAACAATAGCTGACCAATGAGAGCGAGCCACAGAAGTGGCCCGTAATCCTGCACGCGGACTTCTTTGACTACTGACAAAATCAACTAGTTAAATTTGACAAAATTTATTGCGTTGACTTTAGCAGAATTGAGGCCTGGAGTGTATGTTGGTAATGTCTGGCTAGGAGTTTCATATCAAGTTTTAGTGCCAGCCAGTTTGACTATAATAATGGTCGTTCGATATTTTAATAACATGCAAAACAATTGAATGTTTATCGGACATGGTCACAGTCGCAGAGGTTTTATCTGGTATGGTAGTGAGCTGATATATGCATTTTCATGGTGTTTGAGAAAATTGCGGTTATATCTATTAAGAAACAGTGCAGCCCTAAAGAGTAGATAATTTCTGTCAAAATTACATTTGATTTGACAAAAGGTTTATGTTTTAGTCTATCTTTGGTGAGATAGATGAATTGTTATGGACGATGTATAAGGAGGTATATAGAACATGCAACAATTAATTGAAGTAGGTACTTTTTATCATGATATAGTACAATTATAATATAAATAGAACAGCACAAAACCAACTCTCCTAGAACAAACAATTTTTGTAAAAAACAAACAATATACATGAATACTTAGTCCAAAATATTAAAATCCAAAAATGTATTATTATTTTATATTGGAAAATAACAACTCATGTGTCTAGGAAAGTCGATCAAAATCGTTTGAAACCGAGAAACGAAATGATTTATGTTATTTCTGTCTTATTTAAAATCACATTATTTTTTGGTGTTGGAGACGATGGACGGTCACTGATAATTTAATGAAATGAACTCGAAATATTGCTTTTTTAGTTATGGGTATTGCCAAGTTCTTTTCTTATATGTACACGAAACAATGTTATGGAAGAAATGAAAGTTTTCAAAAGTTTCGTGCAAATAGAAAACTTGAAATGTGCTTTGGTGATATGTATTTGTACAAGAGAGAATAGTATACCAGGGTAATTTAATGTTTGCTTGCCTTAAAACTTTCAGCTTCCGTACCCTGTGTATAGAAAATTAATTTAATTTAGGATATCAAACATGAACGTAATTCAGTACCTACATAGAGAAAAATTACGTTATTTGTTTAAAATAGGTTTTTTCATCTTTATCATACGAACTTGCCACTTTATTATTATTTTTAGTAATATTCGGTTAGGTACGTGTTTATAATAAACTTTGTAATAAATAAGGCTTATTCCGTTTATCCACCCTTAAACAGCCACCCTAAAACTCGGAAAATAACAGGAATCCACATCATCACTTTACTTTCGATTTTCTCCCCCGCTTGTGTACAGTCATTTAGAAAAACGTATAAAAACAGCCCAAGATACTTGGTACCTAATATTAAATATACTTACATACTTCTCGTTTCTCTTCTTCTTAAATACACGATAGAAGCTTTTGTGTAGTAGACAATTTTATTCCACTGTACTTGGGGTTAAAAATCGGAAGAACATTCAAAAGTGACTTTCATCTATCCACCCCGCTCAGTGCGTTTCCGAGTATCCACCTTAGGGTGGATAAACGGAATAAGCCACAAATAAGGCTAAAAATATTAGCAAAAAATATTTTTTTTGCTATAATCTTGCTTCATTCCCTTGTTGACCTCGCTTACGTCGTCGCAGTTGTAGTCAAATAGATGTAATTCATTATTTGTTTATTAAAATAATAAAATTTGTGGTAAAACCGTGTAGCAACTCACACTTCACACATCATGCTATATATCTAAATGTAATAAAGATACTAAATCGAAAAAATACAATATTTAGAAGGACACAAAGACAACATTTACCTTTTGTGAGAGTTATACCGAAAAGGCGTTTGTTGCACATACAACAACTACGGAATTGATCTATATTTATATAATTTTTTATATTCACAAAAATACTACAAAATAACTGCAAGCCGAATTGTGTTTAGGTATCTAATAATAAACGAAGATAAAAATCGAACAGTAATGGGACAGATTCTAAAATTCTCTGTAATATGTTCTAGCTTATCCACAAAAACCGCAAGACTTGCGACAAAAGGTGACTGTTAAAAAGTAACTCGGTCAAAACACTATATATCTAAATGCGATTTAGACGAACAAGTCTACAAAAGGATTAATTAGATCAAAAAAATTAAATCTCCAAATAAGCAATAAACTCACAGCAAGTCGATGTTTGAGCACGTCGAATGGCTTCCTCTTTTTGGCGTGGGCCTTTTTGCAGATCTCCTGGTGCTTGGCCAGACGGTCCGGTGCGAACCGGCGGCCGCACACGGCGCACGGAGTGCCAGAACCACCGGAACCCGGTGCAACCGAACTGGACGACACTGCACCCGAACGAGTCTTAGCGACCGTAGGACTCTGTATTATAAATAGTCAAATTACATAGATTATGTTACCCTAGTAGAAAATATTTTAAATAATAAATATATTATTATAATTATTAAATCCATGTTTTGGTTAACATAATCTTTAAAAATAGGATGTTTTTTTCTCATTTTTAATTTCATTTCAATAGTGTTTCAACATGTTAAGTGATAACTCATTATGTAACAGAAGTTTGGGTTGCATTAAAAAAAATCTTCTTAATAATTGAACGAGTAATAAAAAAATAAATTATTAATCATAATGGTAGCCAGAAACAATGACAGAACGCAGCCATACCAAAGCAACAATCAGCCATTCAACCTGGGACGTCTGAGAATGATTATCATGCAATTCACTCGATCATTAAATGGGCGTATAAAACAAAATGGAATATATTTGTCCGAAGAGAATTTATAAAATTTTCTCTACAAAAAATAATTACGAACTTGTTACTTACGAACTTGAAATTCTAACGAGATAAAATTTCATCTTGTAAATTTTCCTTTTTCTAGTGTAAACGAATATAAATGTTAATTACAACGCCTAATATCTAATAACATAAGAATGGTAAGGGTATTGAGTTATAAACTTATATTTATAATCCAAATTAAAAATATAAAATAACTTACCGCTGCCTGCCGCTTAGGTACCTGAGTATAAACAAAAAGGAATTGTTGTTACGAAACACGTACCTCAGTACAAGTAGATACCTTGAATAAACTTTGAAAATTTATTGTTAAATGCTAAGTAACATTCATGTTTATTACATTTTCATTTATTTCATATTACATGATACCAAGAATATGAAATATTTAAAATTATTTATTTAAATAATAAATACATAGAGTAATGATATAATTTTCTGTTATTGGAGATATAAATTTCATTAACTCTGGTTTCCCTTCAAAACGTATAACGTATAAATTTCATTATAATGGACTTACGGTGTTGACAGTTTTCTGCATAGCCCCACGGGCCTTACTGCTCTCAGATACCTGATGGAGAAAGCATTATAATTAATTAATTTTTATTACTTTCTGGATTTCCTACAACATATCATTTCACAACCTAATTTTATACATATTTTTTTATAAATCAACAACAACACTAAAGATTTTAATTGTCATTGTGACAGATCGTAATCTCTGCTTATTTTTTAAATTCAGAATGGAATAATAGGACATATGTAAAGAGTTTATATATGTATATTCAATAATTAGGATATATGTGTAATGTCATTGTGACAGATAGTTATCTCTGCTTATTTTTCAAATTGAGATTGGAACAATAAGACAAACTGAAACAAGTATATGGTATTTCAAGAGTTTATGTTTAATAATTAGGTAAATTTATGTATGTGCAAGTATGAGGACTGGAGTTTTTTTAATATTAATCATCAGTTTTTATGTTTTTAACAGTCACTGTTTGTCTATACATATTCTACTAAATATTGTTCTAATGTCACACTTCGTCGACCCTTCCCTAACGTGTGACGTAATTTATTAATGGCCCCTCTTATTAAACTCATTAAGTTTGATGCAATTATATGATGAAAACTTGCAAAAATTAGAAAAATTGTTACTGAGTAATTTATGATTACTATATTATTTTCTATTTTACACGCATAAAAATGTTCAGTCTCTAAGTAGAATTTAGGTATCTATTATATACTACATTGTGTTTTCAATGTAATACTTACAGAATTATCACTTGTAGTTCTTCTAGGTGGGGCGACGGGTGTAGTTTGTGGTTTCGTTTTAACGGGACTGTTGCGTGTTGCAGGAGCTCTGTAGATCAGCGTAATCACGTAATGTGAGAAATAAAAATCCACAGACTTATTAATCGTCGAAAGTTTAACGAATTGTAGGAAATTATATTGTATTTTATTTAAATAGGCAGTTTTATCAATAAGACAACTTAAAAAATCCAAGTACCTACAAGTCTTTTTGCAAGCAAGTAAGCAAACGATAACACAAAATCTTGGCAAATAAAAACATAAGTAAAAATAAGTCATTTGGATAACATTAATAAGATAGGTGTTTCAATATTGTTCTGTGAACTATAGTATTTAGCTAAGTTAGAAGATTGAAAAATGCATATATGCAGATATTGAGTCCAGACAACGTACCGTAAGACCCACGGCTGCTGCGGATACTTATCGAGTTTATACTGTATAAAATAACATGGGTCTACTTACAAGAATCTTGAGAATTCTCCAAGCTAGCTTCACTTTCTTTTAATCATCCCGTTTCGATACAATAACTCGAGTAAGTAGTTGCAAGTGAATAAGTAGATTATCAGTTTCAACTTTGTAATTTACCTTCTCGGCGGCTTCTTTGGCTCCGGTTCAGGGGAGCGGGGCGTAGGTGTAGGTGCGAGGGCGTCTGGGAAGGTCTCATTCTCCAAAAGGTAATTGTTATCCACACGATCAAAGTCGTTGATACGCGATAGCACCTCACCGTTGGTTTTTGGCAGCTAACAAATAACAGAATATTAATATAAAATAAGCATGAGGGTTTATCGCCAATATCTATAGGTTTGACTACAGCAAAACATTATAACGAGTGGGACAAGGAAAACAATTTGTCCTAAAAAGGTTTGCTCAGAATATGCTGCTCTTGTAATCAGCGCTGATCTTTCGCTGGAACCGATTTATAGGTAAATCTCTAGGTAAATTTGACTGCAACATCGCGAAATTTCTTTATGTTCCTAGTGTACGAGACAAGTTCAATCTGAGCCATTTAAATATCCGTAAAGGGTGACTAATATAAAAGTTGCAAAATTTGCATCAGTAATGTCACCTTAAACTAATGTCGATTTTAATAGATGGTTGTGCAACTGGGTGTTAGGAGCTTAGCCAGTTTGAGTCATAGTTTTTGTTATGGATATGATTTTGATGAGATTGGCTTTCAAAATAACGGTTTCTATGTACTTGCCACATGTTTCGAAGGATTCAGATCTGGTTCATGGTTATGGTTGAGATCACCAGATCCGTTCACTATGTTTTCTGTTTTCTGGAATGAAAAACAATAAATTACTTATTAACTTGAGATATGATTATATATACTGAGCATGAATCCTGAAATTGAAACTATTTTAAAGGTGTGGTCAAAGATAACTTGGGTTGGGTACTAAATGCTATTATCACAGCATTTAGTTAACAGGGACTTCTCGGGGAGTGAATAATACTTGTATAATTTGCAATTTGTTTATAGCTGGACGATATGGAAGAGTTCGAAGGAGAAAGACGAAAGAGTACATAGCGCGTCGGTTCTGCGATACGGAGGTGAAGTAAGTTTCACAAGGATCGGTCATAGGATAAGCGACCAAAAATGTATTATCTCGCCTTGCTTCATGCTTAGTGCGGAAGACACATTAAACAGTTGGTTCATGCTGCATCTCCATTCTTCAGCACCCATCGATTCGTATTACTGGGCCCACGAGATAGGTTATGGAACGTTCTCTCTATTCGATTTGATTCCATACATAGGAAAGGCCTCTAACCCAGCGGAGAGGACAGTAATCGGCTGATGATGATGAAGAAACAAAATGCATTGGTTATAATGTCTCTAACTTCGATATGTTAACATATTTACAGATAGAGAATCTTCGTTTTGTATTTCAATTTAAAGTCAGGTTCAGAGGTAGGTAGTCAAACTGTATAATACACTAACGTGCTGTTGTTTTTTCACGGTGTGCGTATTGACGTGATTGATGTGTGTCCTAACAGAACGCTTGTCCATTGTGCTCCGGGTAGCCGTCGTAGTGGTCACTTTACTGTAACCATTCGGTAGTGGCTTCCTTACGCGTTCTGTGTTTTGAATAGGTTGTAGCGGATAGCTTTTATCGATCCCCGCTTTGGTGCGCCGCTCCTCGAACATTTGCCTGACCTGTTGATATGAGATAAAAAAGGAATTATAACGAGTTCAAAATTAACCTAAACAAACTGAGAGTGACTTTTATTCTAGTTTTATAGCAACTTAGAAGTCGACGGGTGATTTAATATCCCATGATGGGTAGAGCAACTTGATGGCGTAGTGTTTAACGTTTCCGGTCTGCAATGCCGAAATAAGCAACTTTCACAAATGCCGGACTTATGATGAGTTATCAAAAGTTTCGTTTTCTCTTGCTCCTCCGTGCTTCGGAATGTACGTTAGGCTGTTGGCCTCGGCTGCACTTCGCACTATGCCCACGTGGTGGCATATGATCAGTTCTCCCAATACGGTGGCATCCATGGAGATAATCTGTGCTCTAGCAGTGGTGACAGTAATAGGACAGTCATGATAATGGGTCAATTTCAATTGAAATAATAATATTTTTAAGGACAATTGTCACGTTTTCCAGTGTGATTTCGTTTTCGACTAGTATGCACGCATAGCTGCACGTCACTCTATACACCACCACCGTAAGCAGACCTCTCTTAGTAGGGAAGCTCTATACGAAGCGCGTTGGGTACAAGTCCTCAATGTATAGTCTGGACGTACAGCCGTGTGTATTTACAGAACAAAACAATGTAATAATCATTTTAGCACGCTGTAGTAATATGGCATGTAGCCTTAAATGGTAACATGGCATCATGGAAAGTAATAAATATTCAGAGTATATACTGTATTATTCTGATCATAATTCAATGATTGATTATCAGTTTTACAATACAGTATCAACAGTAACAGTAACTGACCACAGGTTCAATTTTTCGTGCGGTTTTGCTTTAAAGTAATTGAAAAGGTTATTCAGAGTTTTATTTCTTTCCATTTATGTTCAAATGTGATTTATAAAATAGAATGCGTGTGGGGTGAATTGAAATTACAATCAGATTTCTTTGGAGGTTCATTAGGTTTTGAGATCCATAAAAATATTCTCGATTCACTCATTAAATAAGAGAAAGAAATAGAAATAAATAAGAAACTGATTCGATTAGTACCTCGTAAAAAGACACAGATTTTTCGTAAGCCTAAGTACTATAAAATCAACTAAAAACATTGAAATTTAAGCCTAATAAACGACAGTCGAGTATATATTTCTTTCTATCCAGTAGAAAGAAAGAAAATACATTTATTGACCACATAGGTAGAGGTAGATACAATAGTGATTTAACTTAAAACATAATACATTATTAAAAGTGGTGGCCAATCAGGACTCTGCCTCAGCATAAGTTATACCAGTATAGATTTACGGCGCTGGTTATTCTGGCAGAGTCTGTGTAGATGGTTGACATTATACATATGCATATATAAGTAGTAAGAACATAAAGAATAATTTAAATTTAGTTGTTTCAAATATGTGTTAACTCTGATATTGGCCCTTAATTATTCAATTATCTTAAAATTTCTGTCCAAAGGGCCACTATGCTTTTAAAAACAAAGGACTTCTTGGGTGGCCACAGGTGTTACTTCCAGAAAAACGTGAATTTTGACACAGCGCATCTGTCATCGTAAGTGGTTAGTTTTGTCGTAATTCGACATTTTCATGAACATACACGGTAAAGTAATATGCCTATGCTTTGGTTACAACATTTTTTAGTTCCAAAAGGCCAAAAGGTGACCAGTGGCCTCATCCAGGTCTATTGCTCTACCTTGCCCGGGTGATGTGGGACCGGTGCCGGTGGTTGCGGCGGTGACGTGGCCGTGCTGCTGGGCGAATGTCGCACCCTGTCCAGCGCACGCGCCTGCTGAGCCTCGTATAAAGATGCAATTTTCAATTCACGCTCTTGCATCTGTTTCTGCTGGAATCTAGCCTGTAAACAAATGGTCATAGAAATTAGTATTATCAGAGAGAGAGAGAGAGAAGGAGAGAAATGGGCCGACGCTTGTTGGCCTTGATTCATCATTGTGTATTATTCATATTGATGTCAGGTTACCACAATATGTCAAATTTCCTCAACCGATTTTGAACTTTATCTTTAATCAATTAAATTTGTAAATCAAGTGAAGTAATTTAACAGTTTTGTATAACCTGTGCCTGTGTATAACCTGTATAGGTACACTAATTGAATAAAGATAAAGTAACTTTTAAAAGTGCCCCATTCAATATTCTGTTATTAAATAAACAATACGAGCTACCATTAGAGGTGGTCGGTGCTTAGTTTAGTGTGAAATATTATAATCGATATTTATTTATAGTCGAAGTTCGTTAAACTTTTTTCATCGATCGGAGAGATTTAGAGAAGTTTTACTTTCATAATGGGTATGTTTTTATAACTGTCTCTACTTTAATATTTTTAAACTTATTTTCACTAAGCACTTACAATGAAACAGTGTACCTAAATATTTTTATTGTTTTGTATTTTCGTGTAATAACTCTTAGGTATAGCATTGATTTATAGTTCTTAGTTTCTATTTTCAAGATCCATCAAATTTATGAGTTTTCGTTACATGTAGTTTAATTTGAAAATCGGTAGGTATGTGTCACAATTCCAACTAAGTATATTGGTACCTATGATCGAGAAATGAGATAACGTTTCGCCTTTATTACTACCTATTTGTAGTCTTATTTCATGTCAGTATGATGCCAGAATTAAAATATTTGTGTTCGTTTTTTTGGAAAGGTGAAGATATAAGTTTATAGCAAGGCTATACAAAACCGTCAAATTTCTCCACTGCATTTTAAACCTTAAAATATTGCAAGCAGAGGTCAAAATCGGTTGTGGAATTTTGACATATTGCGGTAGCCTGACGTGTATCCGTGTGTACCATATTCCAAAATAAAAGTATTTAGAATCTGTTGGTAGTACATGTCTGTTGGTAGTAAAGAAAACATTACGATTCCTTCACAAAAATAAGGAGTGTTCATAAACTTAACACAAGAAATAAAAATAAACTTGCCGTTCCAAGCTTCAGACTACAGAAAACCAGAGGCTCATTTCTAGGTAAATGCATTGCTATGTTCAATAAATCTACCTACCCATAAATAAGTCTAAAATTCATGTAAAGAACATACTTATGAGAAAAGGCTATTATAAAGTTGATGATTATTTTAAGGACCGCAATGCATGGAATTGATAGCCTTCGCTTTGTTGTGTTTATTATTGTGATAATACATATTATTTTGGTAATGTCATGATTTTGTAAATGTCATTACTTATGATAAAGAGCTGGTAAGTTTCTTTCGCTTGTTCTTCTTGTCAGCTAAAAGACGTCCTGAAAATAATGGTAGGGGAAAAAAAATTTTTGGACCATTCAAAAGTGCTTATAACAAGCTTACTTGAATAAAGATATTTTCATTCATTCATTCATTTAGTAAAGCTCTTAATAAAATAAAATAAATATATTGTCCGTGGTGATGAGTATTAAAAAGTCGGTGGTACTAAAGTTTACTTTCGATGTGTTTGTAACACGAGTTTTTGAAGAAATAAAATGGCGATTCATTTAAAATAAAGTAAAAATGGTTTTATTAAAAATGAAGTTTATATACAAATATTATTACTTCATCTAAAACCCTACAGAATCCTAATCCCTGAAAGTTTTTTTGAAAATGTTCAGAGTTCCTATTATTTCTCATTTTTTAAAGTCCGATTTAGTTTTGAAAAAGTTTTATTATCTTAATACGGAATAAATTTTTAGGTAAATACTATACATTCTAAAATTTTTGTACGTTTTTCTAATTCTTCAAAAGCCGGGACGTTCGCCCACGCACCGCTGCACACCAGACAACCTGTCAAACGAATGGTTCAGTGTTCCGAATCGTGCTTCCGACAAAACTTTGTACTTGGAACAAGGTCAGAAAGTAAAGATTTAGTAGACATTTACACATCTACATAGACATATTAATAAAACAGTTAATGCGTTGTTAATCACGAAATTCGAAAACGGCCGAACCAATTCGCAAATTTTTCTTTTCAAATACTTATATCAAGTACATACATATTTGTTGAGATCACGTAAACTTCAAATTGGAGCCTTCGCGTTCATACCTTGTTAGGTATTCATACCAATTTATTGAAGTCCAAGGAAGTTTCTTACGGAGTTTCCTTACTTTTTCTGTATTTTTTATACTGAGAAAGAAAGAGAGTCAACTAATTTATTATAAAACTTTCTCATAGTCACCATAAAAACAGTGTGTAAAGAGGTATTATATTTTCTTCTTGCCTTTTTTTTGATAATTATAATCTGTTTTCCCTACCCAAGATATTACTGCTCACATTTTAAAGTAGATATATTTTAAAACACAACAGGAACCAATAAAGACAACAAAGGCAATGAATACACATCCCACTCCGCTATTGTGTCGTTTCCTGGCCGCTACCAAACATGGTTTAATATGTCTATTGATTTGTGAAGTGTTTGATTGATGTGTCAAGATCAAGTTAACAGTATGATAAAGCAATGTTAAAGCATGTAATGAATAATAAGTACTATTATTTCTATATTGAGATAAATTTTTATATATGGGGTATACCCGGATCGAGTGGAGACAAACCAGAGACGAGATACCCTAGTAAAATAGTTTGTTATCCTTATATTATTCAAACAACGAAAAATTAAGAAACGTCACTATAATATGTGACTTTTTTTTTTATAATTAACCTTAATTTGACGCCAAAAGCCTTAGGGCGCTTGTGCACTACACTGAATTTTCAGGTCCGGCGGTCCGATTTTTTCCGGTCCGGAATGACATGAAAAACTCGGATGAGTAGCTTGTGCACTTGTCCGTTTTTTTCCTGATCGGAGCGGCGCAGTGTAGGGCAGCTCTCTTTGAAGCTACACGTCACTTACGCTAGGTACGATGAGATTTTTGGAACGTCGGTAATTCCGTTCTAAGACGTAGAAAGGTACCTAAATAATGATCTGATCGTTTAACATAAACCATAATAAATTATGGCCAGACGAAAGCATTTTTTTTACTACTATCGGATGACTACTATCAGATGTAAAAACTTATACCCTTACTAATTTAGGAACAGCATTATTCACATACAATAGCTAAAAATAAACTGCGACATTAGAATAAAATTACTGATAATGGTCTAGTACTTGATAATTAAATTTTTAAACGTGCTATTTTTGTAAAAACAACTTTCAGCGATTACAGAGATAGACATGTGGTTATTCCTTGAACAAGACGCCGGTGATTTTGTGCAAGTTATTGTAAATTATTAATTAAAATATAAACTAATATCAAAATGGCAAGTAAAAGTAGTATCTCAGCGTTATCAGTATCTGCAATATAGCTGACTGCCAAATAAACGTTCTAACAATAAGACCCCGTCTTTGGAAAAAGGATATTCTATACGAAATTCGTCGTCATTGTACAAAAGGAAGGGATCGTTTCTATTAGTTCTAAATATTTTAGATTTTTCCTCTCTTCTCGTCCTAAACATTTGCGATCGATTGATCAAATTATTAATTTCTTCCACTTTTTGTATTGTCTAAACGCCATATTTCAATAAACACACGTTTCAATATTATTAAAAATTATCTAATACGGTAAATATTTGGTAAATATCAACAATATCAAAATGTCATTTGACAAATCCGTTGCTACACCAAAGTTATACTAGGGTGACGGGCGGAATATCGGTGGAATAAGTTTTGTTAGAACGTTACATCCAGGTTATGCTAAGCATAAGTTACACCGAGTTTATAAGTTGACATTTTGCGTATTCTGAACTAATTCTCGGTATAACATTTTATACCACGTTTATAAGTAGCGCTGTTAGAATACTTCTTTTATTAATGACACAAACATACATTTAAAATTTTATTAAATGCGAAAAAGACATTGAGTGTCACTTAATTACTTTAGTTAATCTTCTGTTTATTCTTTATTATTACTTCTGTTGTCAAATATTTATCTATACTTATCAATTGTCTAAAAAAACTTTGATAATGACAAATTTCCAGGCAAACTTTCATCCCCTATTTTTCACGATAAAATGTAGCCTATGTCATTCTTAAAGTTAAGTCTATTTACTATATTAATTTCCATTTAGATGGGTCTCACAGCGTAACTACACTTATTTATCTTACCTTAAGCTATCGATACTTTTAATACGATTCTAAAATCTAGCTAAGTATCGATACTAGAACCATACGCTGATCAAATTAGAACTATACCGAGTTTGCCAAAGCATATGCAGTGATATATACCAACTATATTAAATCATCATATAAAATATAGCATTTTATAATCAACAATAAATATAAAATATCGATTATAAGTTTATTGGAAATTAACAATATCGCCGAAATAAATATCGATTCAAATCGATTATTTTTCCCAAGCCTATTCCTTATGAATTTTCCGGATCTCGGACACAGCAGTGCACAAGCGTAAACACGTTTTTCATTGCCGCCATCACGGACCTGAAAAAAACGGTCCGGAATAGAGAAAAGTAAAATTCCGGACGGTAAAATTCCTGATAGTGCACAAGCGCGCATTACCTACATATGGCCTGACATATCGGACCTGAAAAAATCGGACCGCCGGACATGAAAATTCAGTGTAGTGCACAAGCGCCCTTATTGTAAAATCTCCGCCTAACAAAGTCATGCCCACTACGAAATTATAATTTTCTTACAATAGTATTATATACAGCTTAGTATTAGATTGCGTCGCGCTACCTCAATGCAATACCACCCTTAAGAATAACTACAGGTCTATTCTCCTTGCTTGAGGCTAAAGGCTCAATGATCCGATTACTAGAAAAATATACCAAGCAGAACTTAAATATGAAAAACAAACAAACAACTGATTCGTAGTGGTTTTTGATTTCCACAAGAGCTAAAATGACTTTTT